CAAAAAAAATTGAAAACGAAAAAAAAAAAAAGTGACAAATCCAGTTTCGGCCCAGGAGAAGAAGAAGAAGAAGATGAAGAAGAAGGAGGAGAGAGAAGAACAAAAAAAATTGAAAACCAAAAAAAAAAGTGACAAATCCAGTTTCGGCCCAGAAGAAGAAGAAGATGAAGAGGAAGGGGGAGAGAGAAGAACAAAAAAAATTGAAAACCAAAAAAAAAAAAGTGACAAATCCAGTTTCGGCCCAAGAGAAGAAGAAGGAGGAGAGAGAAGAACAAAAAAAATTGAAATTGGTGCGGGAGAAGGAAAGGGATGCCGCACCCTTAAGAATTTTTTTTTTGTTTTTTTTATTCTTAATTTTTTTAATATTTAATTATTAAAAATATATTTAATTGTTTTTTAATCCAGCTGGATTAGTGAGTGGGACACGTGTTGGGCCACGTCAGCATTTAACAGAGAAATTAACAGAAAAACTGACGTAGGTATGACATTGTCACAAATTCGTAAGATGCGGTATGATATTGTCAATTTTAAAAGATGAGGTATAAAAGTGTCGTGACATCAATAGTTGAGGTAGTTTTTTGTACTTTACCCAATATTAATATTATTGCTTTTTTTTTTTTTTACCAAATAGAGAAAGATTAGGTGAGATTAGTCATTTAGCAATGGTCGCGTGTAAGGCACCTACTCTCTCATGAAGGGGTGTGGACCATTACTCCCAGAAATCCCCTGCCAGTCCCTTCTTCACCAATTTCATTGATAATAAATGAAAGTAAACAAAAAAGTTACATACGGGGGACTAGGTCAAGACCCGCAAAAACACAAACGATCAACGAAAACAGTAATAAAGACAAAACGAAATATCACGAACATGTGCAGAGGCTACAAAATCTAAAATCGTGGACCACCAATAATAAGAATAACTATCTGCCCCAAAATAAGCTAAAGCATCTGCAACATGATTTTCTTCTTTATAAATATGTGCACACATAAATTGCGCGCATTTAGCGAAGTTGCTAGAGACAATTATTCCAATCACCATAAAAAACCATAGGACCGCATTAGGAATCTTAAAAAGATAGTGAATAATCAACATGGACTCTGATCAAATTATGCTCAATTTTCTTATAACGTGGTCTGACTTTATGTTGCGCACACTAATATAATCTTTGAACTTAAAAGTTCTGATATAATCAGTCGTAAAAACTTGTGTAAGATAAGTTTATAACAGTGCAGATCGACTCATGCGTGGATACACGATGGATTGTACCATTATGTATAAACTTGCATAGTCCCTCCCCTCCCTCGAAGAACTTATATACACTACAGAAAAAGGACCCAGAGAATGGACACCTATAGGTCTCTTCCGTGACAACTTGAACAGTATGACGCTGCACTGAGAGCAACATTGCCCTGATCAAGACTCAAAAGGGTATTCCACCAGTACACGATTGTGCTCGGTCAAACAAAAGTATTTCATTATTTTTTGGGTTTCTTTTTGTGATAATTATAAGATTATTGAAAAGTTAAACTTATTATTGAGGTGCTTTTGTTTGATTCAATTCGACATTATGACAGATCGAATGTCGTAATTCTTGAGGATTATAACAGACAGTTGCAAAGGATTCAAATCAAGCAGGTAATAATGGTTTTGTTAAATGATAGATTTTGTTAGATTAGATGTTAGATTAGTCACCGACGGAATTAGAACTCACGTTGTCATACAAAAGCTCCATCTCATTTTCACCATACAACCTAGTAGTAGAAGAACGAGTATATGATAGAAAACACGAACTCATACTTACGCTCCAGCTTTAAATTCTTCGTCGACATATGCTTGTGGATCTGGTGGACCATTTGATTTGATTCTCCATAAGATCTATCAATGGCATCCAAGTGTTAGACAGCGGTGTCATTTTTTCCTTTCCCAACTCTATCAAAAAAACGTGAATGTCACTTTCCATTGTTTTAGTAGAATGCAGCAAAACCACAAAAACATGTTTACGTATTCGAAAGTGGTCACCTTCCTTAGCTGCTCTTGACCACCAGAACTGTGGAGGCCGTGACAAAGCTAGTATTCACCATCTCTCCCACTTCTATTTATAACCCCCAATCATTCATGGAATCTACTGCTATCCTAAGCAAGAAAAAACTCTCTCTCTCTCTCTCCTCTCTCTCTCTCTCTCTCTCTCTCTCTCTAAAAGATGGTAGCTACTTACTCATACAACTCCAATATCATACTAAAAACTTGAAATTTCAATTTGTTTTTTCTCTTTCTTTTTACATTTCGTTAACTTCCAACAGGTTTTGATCTCAAGGAAAGGTGAGAAAGATGGAGATGTGGTGGATTTCCGAGGGAATCCGGTGGACAAGTCGAAGACTGGCGGATGGCTTGCTGCAGGGCTTATTTTGGGTGCTTTCTCGAATCAGATTCTCTCGTTCTGATATTCACGTTTGAGTTATGGACAGATCACATCTACCTTTGTTATGCATTATCTTAAGGTACTTTTTGTGCTTCATGATGACTATGTTGCAGGAATTGAACTGGCTGAGAGGATATGTGTGATGGGCATATCTATGAATTTGGTTACGTACCTGGTTGGAGATTTGCACTTATCTTCTGCAAAATCTGCAAACATAGTGACCAATTTCATGGGCACTTTGAACCTCCTTGGCCTCCTTGGTGGGTTCCTAGCAGATGCTAAGCTTGGCAGGTACCTCACAGTTGCACTTTCTGCAACCATAACTGCTGTGGTAAGTTTTGAGCCATGTAAAATTTGTAATATTAACCTTTTTATTAACATATTAAAGACTTATAGCCTACTTTTCGTCCGACACTCCTTAAAAGTCATTCTGTCAAGGAATATTCATCTTGAAGCTCACAACGATTTTTAAGATTTATCAATGGGAATCAATCGAAATCGCTCAAGCAGTTCTTGAGCTCTCCCAAGACCCCTCCAGCAGTGCTCGAACCCCCTTCGATGCACTCAAGCCTTCGAATGCTTGGATTCGAGTGATTTTCAAGAGTTATAAAAACTGAATCCTTCTTGTTCTTGCAGGGGATAATTTTCTTGACATTGGCTACGTCCATTCATAGCATGAGACCACCTCAATGTGATGACTACAGACAGCAACACCATCAATGCATTGAGGCCAACGGCAGCCAATTAGCCCTGCTCTATGCTGCTTTGTACACTACAGCGCTGGGTGGTGGTGGGATAAAATCCAACGTCTCAGGTTTCGGGTCCGATCAATTCGATGCCGCAGACCCCAAGGAAGAGAAGGCCATGATCTTCTTCTTCAACAGGTTCTACTTTGGCATCAGCATTGGGTCTCTGTTTGCCGTTATTGTGCTGGTGTATGTGCAAGTCAATGTTAGCAGAGGGTTGGGGTACGGAATATCAGCCGGGGCAATGATCATTGCGGTCGTCGTATTTCTCGCGGGGACGACGTTTTACCGGTTCAGCAAGCCTCGAGGAAGCCCTTTAACTGTCATATGGAGAGTGATATTTTTGGCTTGGAAGAAGAGGGCTCATCCTCATCCTTCCCATCCAAGCCTTTTAAATGGATGCCAAGAAGCTAAGATCCCCCACACAGAGAGGCTCAAGTAAGTTTACATATAAAACCAGTACTCCATGTTTATCATCGGGAAGTAATTTCTGCAAATCATTTTTCTCTCCTGCACACCCTACTTAGTTTTGGCCTTTGAATTGAAGAAATAGAAAAAAGTACATAATTAAACATGCGTGCGCAAAATGAGAAAATGAGCGTCAGAATCCTAAACTATCCGAATTACATCAAATTTCTTCACTGGCACTGACTAGGTTTTGTTTATCTACTACGCATGTGAATGGTTAGATGTCTAGACAAAGCTGCAATCCTAGATGAATATGCAGCTCATGAAGGAAACAGAAGCAACTCATGGATAGTATCCACAGTGACCCAAGTTGAAGAGGTGAAACTGGTTTTCAAGCTCATGCCGATCTGGTCGACATGTATCCTCTTTTGGACGGTCTACTCTCAAATGACTACGTTCACCATCGAACAAGCCACCTTCATGAACCGAAAAGTAGGCTCCTTTGAAATCCCTGCGGGTTCTTTCTCAGCATTTCTCTTCATCACCATCCTCATCTTTACTTCCTTAAACGAGAAATTCTTTGTTCCCCTTGCTCGGAAACTCACCAACAACGCCCAAGGAATAACAAGCCTTCAGAGGATTGGGGTTGGACTCATTTTATCAACGTCGGCTATGGTAGCTGCCGCAATAGTAGAGAAAGAAAGAAGAAACATTACAGTTCACCAAAATACCAAGCTAAGTGCTTTCTGGCTTATCCCACAATACTTCCTCGTGGGTGCAGGGGAAGCTTTTGTCTATGTCGGACAGCTTGAGTTTTTCATCAGAGAGGCACCGGACAGGATGAAGTCCATGAGCACGGGGCTGTTCTTAAGCACCATCTCAATGGGATTCTACGTTAGCAGTCTTTTGGTGACAGTAGTGGACAAAGTGACTAAGAAGAGCTGGCTGAGGAGTAACCTGAACAAAGGAAGGGTGGATAACTTCTACTGGGTCCTCGCAGTGCTAGGAGCTATAAACTTCTTGGTTTTTCTTGCCTTTGCAATGAAACACCAATACAAAGGCCATCAGCACAATAGCCATGATGCTAGTGGCGAAAAGGAGTTCAAGAGCTCGAACATCAAAACAGTTGAAGAAATGCCAGAGATAATCAGAATTGAGGCAAAGGAAGGGCCTTAGAACCTAGTAAGTATGCTTCCAAAAGGATCTTGTGTAATATTGTATGCTTATCAATCATTTATTAGATATTTAAATCCTTTTTTTGTCCGCAGTCTCTCGGACTAAATGTAAATACAGTGTGCTCTATAATGCAATGTAATGACAGATTTTTATTCATCCGAAAAACAAAATTAACAGCATAACAACATATCCATGACACACGTCAAGAAATCAGGAATTTGCCAAATCAAACCATCCAACATATTGCATATGCAAAATAGAAGCCGTCTAGTTGCAAGATTACTTTTATCAACGTTAATGAACTAGTTCAGAAACACTGCAAATTTTGAGACAAAAAGTTACACTACAGGAATACTACTAGTCTCCTCAATCATATCTAAGAAGCTGAGAGCTGACCTCTAAACAATTACATAGGCTATTAAGAAGGTCCACTTGCAGAACCAGGTTGGTGATTTACGACCAATGGGGGACGTAGAGCTCGGTGACTTTCCAAGTTTTGTTTGCGGGCATTATACATCTCTTCCGTCTCAATCACGACCAATCTCTTAACCTGTGTGAAAAATAACATACTAACATTATCAACCACGGAGAGGACAGATGCCTTATGAATGCATCCACTGTGAACTTATCAAACCTGTTGGAGCATTCCCCTAACTGTAGGAGTATTCCATCGCATGACAGTTCGATTGCACTTTCCGAGACGTAATGCCTCTAAAGTACGCCTGTGAAGTCTCCTGGTTCCGGGGATTCCCCTCACCAAAGTTATATACAGATTAGGGCTCCATGCAATTGGGACACTGGCTTTATAAGCCTTGAAAGCATTCATTTTCTTCTCCAACCTACACATCCCAAAGTGGTGCCTAAGACATAACTTCAATGTATGTGAAAACTACTAATACATGGCTGCATCAGAAAGAAGACAAACTCCAGAAAGAAGATAAACATAGCAACTCGGGAATACAGAAAGTCTAGGAAAAAGCACCGCGAACATTTAGTGCCTCTGTTAAACATAGCTTACTATTTATATCTAGAAGATTTCAGGGTTTAGCTTGCTTAAAGGATCTCAATCACTACTAAATCAGAATTGCAATGATGAACATCAAAACATTAAAAACGGGCTAGTGCCAATCATTTTCCTTGTTTACATTACAATCATTTTGACTCGTAACCAATAAATCATCGTAAAAAAATCAGAAAAATTACGTCATCCAAGCTCAGTGGCCTTGAACACTAATATCTCTACATTTCACCACGAACTACACGGTTCAACAAGAACCGCCACAGGCACATCATGTAGTGATCAAACCTAATGTGTTTCCCCCAAAGTTATTAAATTTATCACAAATCTCCATTCAATTACTCCTAAAACTCAACAAATACAACAAAATTAAGATGTTGTATTATCTCTAAAGCCGGAATTAGACTAAGCCCGGTGGTAATTAAGCTCAATCTTTCTCAAGAACAAAACTTTTTATCTTCATTCCACCCAAAAATCAGATTTTTCACAGTTAGATTTAAAACTTACCCGGCAATTCATGAACTACAAAAAGTAAACAATGAGAACTCAGAAAAAGAAAAAGCAGCAGATTTACAAACTGAATAAAAGGAAGAAAGGAAGAGATTATACAGGGGAGAGAGAGATGACCTCAAGTATGTCTGTCGACGGAGCTGCAACCAGTGACGACGACGTCGGCGGCGGCGAGGGCTGACTGCCTTGTTCGTGTGGAAGGAGTCTGAGTGGTGAAGTTGATTTTAGCTGCTTTTGCCATGTAGGCCTGGCTGGTACTTTGGGCCTTTCGGTTTGGGTCTATCTTCTACCTACCAAGCCCAACATACTTCTAACCCGATGCCAGCACATTTTTTTGGTCCCCGTTGGATCAATCTCGATTGTAATTGAAGCTTTAATCTAACGGTCCATGTTCAATTTATATCTAAGATGTGTGTTACAGAAATACTGTGCGATACTGACCTTTTTCCTTCTTGGTTTTCTTCATCCCAACATGATTCGTGGCTTGTTCGGAATTACATTATGGCTCGTTTAGTAAAAATGAAAGTTAAATTTTATAAGGCACTTGAAGTGCTTCTAGTAAGAATCACGTAATAGATACTTAGCATAAGCATTTTTAGTGTTTTTAGAACTTAAAAATATTTTTTTAAAAGCACTTTCAGTCATTTAGCAAGTTCTTCTTAATAAAGCATTTCTTGTTTGAAAAATACTTTTTAATGATTGAAAGAGCGTTAGAAAAAATATTTTTAAATTCAACAAGCACTTAAAGATCAAACTCGCATCCGAAAACATATGAGCATGAATGTTTTCCGCCAGTGTATCATTTATAACAGAGAAAATCAGAAGTACAGTTTAATGGTATTTCTCTTCGTTTGTAAACAAGCTCCACAAATGCGAGTCTTCCAACGAAAAAAAAAAAAGAAAAATGTTACCTTTCCCTCCTCCGAAGCCACCCAACTGCACAGATTGACCCTTAAACCCTCGAATTACCCTCAATCAGTAAGCTTCAGTATCTTTCAACAATCAAGACCACATCAAACATGTCATTGTCAAACCTCCTTCCGGAGCTACTCTTCGAGATCCTCACGCGTCTCCCTCCCAAGGATTTGCTCCGATCCCTCTGTGTTTCCAAATCTTGGAACGCCACCATCCGCAGCCGCCGCTTCATCAAAGCCCATCTCCAACGGTCTGCCGCAACCAACTCTGATCGCGCCCTTTTAGTTGGGTCGTATCCTTCCGATTTCTTTTCAGTGTCTTTTGACGACTCGGAGGCGTTCGGTGAATGCGTCGAGATTGCTCCGCCGTTGAAATGCCCTGAACCGGCGGTTGAAGTTGACCCCTTCGATCCGCGGTTGCCTGATTTCATATCTGCAAGGTGGATAAAATGCCCTGCCGCGTACACCGAGATCATTGGCCGCTCCGTTCACGGCCTGGTTTGCATTCGCAAAGGAGGCAAAGGGGAGGACGGAGATATTGCTTTTTGGAACCCTTCAATTCAAAAGTTCAAGATGATTCCCCCCACAACGTTTGAGGCTGATTTGAATATCATGACCAAACTCGGTTCTCCCTGCTATGCTTTCGGGTACGATTCCATTAACGATGACTATAAACTTGTTGGATTTGTGGAGTTTCGAAATAAAGAACCATTGTTTTTGACTTATTCGGTTCAAATTTATAGCCTAAAATCTAACTCATGGAAAAGGATCCAAAACATCAACATCCCTTGGTGGAGTTATTATGTATTTGATTTACATAATATCGTTTATGTGAACGGTGCTCTGTGTTGGCTGATGGATGATGGTTCAGATATATACACAATTGTAACCCTTGATCTTGCCACTGAGGAATGTGGCGCGTTTCCTGCCCCGGTTGATAAGCCATATTTGTTTTTGGAGGTCTTGGGAGACTGTTTATATATTTGTGTTCGTCATGGACGAACCAGACATGATGGTTGGATTATGAAGGAATTTGGAGTCGCGGAATCTTGGACCTTGATTTATTCTATTAATGAAGAGGACAGTGGTTCCCTTTGTCGTAAGACCTTTCATTACAAACCTTTGGTGTTCTCAAAGAATAGTGGAATGGTTCTTTTTGTAGATGACTATTATATGCTTTTTTGGATTGACATAGAGGAAGACACTGTCAAAGAAGTTGACATTCATGGTTTTCCCCCTGGTGTAGTTATGGTGGAAAATTATAGTATTTCGCATCCTGTCACGGTAACTATTTGTGTAGGGAGCCTGTGTCTTCTGGATGGTGACGATGTTCTTGCTGCGAGGCATCAACAAGGCCCCTCTTACCTCGAAGAAGCGGAAAGTTCCAAGCAGAGTGAAGAGTCTCTTGATCTGGCACTGGAAGCAGCTGAAGATGATCAAAATTAGGGTGGAAAGTAGTCAGTTGGCGCGAAAAGGGTTGATCACACGGTAATGATTTGCAACTTCTTTTGGACTAGGGCCAGGGTTATTGATCTACGTGATCAACCTTTTGCTCTTTATGTTGTACGGTACCGCATTATTGTTAGTTTGTTAGTTCTCCGCCTGGTTTTCAACTCGTATCATTGTAATTCACCTCTGTTTTGGGTAGTCCAAGTCGTTGTTGTATATTTTTCTAGTCTTGTGGTGTATGAACAATTGACTGTTTGCTGCATTTTTCCTGCATCTTGTATAATATCCCATCCAATGTTCGTTTCATTTCGTCTTTGTTCTTGATGGGGGATCGTGTAATTGTTGTGAGGCGGCTGCGACAAATGCTGTGAACAGGTTGTCCTTGGATCCTCTGCTTAGGTATCAATGATGATTCAGAACCGAGACTGAACCATCTTGTACAGCTCTTTCAATTATCTCTACACTGTAAAACTCTTTTGCGTCTTTCCAGCACGAGTGGGCTCTTTTTGTTTTTTTTTTGGATAAAAGGTAAACTTTCATTACCAGAAACTTGCATGCATAACAAAAGCCCACAACTGGGCCATCATAACAACAACCCAACGCAAGGGTTGAGCCCGAAAAAAGAAACAACAACAACAACAACAACAAAGCCTTTTCCCACTAAGTGGGGTCGGCTATATGAATCCTAGAACGCCATTGCGCTCGGTTTTGTGTCATGTCCTCCGTTAGATCCAAGTACTCTAAGTCTTTTCTTAGAGTCTCTTCCAAAGTTTTCCTAGGTCTTCCTCTACCCCTTCGGCCCTGAACCTCTGTCCCGTAGTCACATCTTCGAACCGGAGCGTCAGTCGGCCTTCTTTGCACATGTCCAAATCACCAGAGCCGATTTTCTCTCATCTTTCCTACAATTTCGGCTACTCCTACTTTACCTCGGATATCCTCATTCCCAATCTTATCCTTTCTCGTGTGCCCACACATCCCACGAAGCATCCTCATCTCCGCTACACCCCATTTTGTGTACGTGTTGATGCTTCACCACCCAACATTCTCTGCCATACACCATCGCTGGCCTTATTGCCGTCCTATAAAATTTTCCCTTGAGCTTCAGTGGCCTACGACGGTCACACAACACGCCGGATGCACTCTTTCCATCCAGCTCGTATTCTATGGTTGAGATCTCCATCTAATTCTCCGTTCTCTTGCAAGATAGATCCTAGGTAACGAAAACGGTCGCTTTTTGTGATCTTCGCTAGATTGCTCCGGTCATTAGTGTGGATAAGTATATAAATGGATAGAGATAGGAAAGCAAACACAAGATGTACGTGGTTCACCCAGATTGGCTACGTCAACGGAATAGAAGAGTTCTCATTAATTGTGAAGGGTTTACACAAGTACATACGTTCAAGCTCTCCTTTAGTGAGTACGAGTGAATGATTTAGTACAAATGACATTAGGAAATATTGTGGGAGAATGATCTCGTAATCACGAAACTTCTAAGTATCGGAGTGTGGTGTCGTCTTGACTTGCCTTATCTGTCTCATAGGTAGATGTGGCATCTTCTCTGGAAGTACTCTTCCTCCATCCAGGGGTGGTATCTTTAACTGGTGGAGATGCACAAGGTAATGTATCAATTTCACTTGAAGCTTACTTGTAGTTTCAGGCTTGGTCAAGCGCGATACAAAACCATGTAGTAGGAGTCCCCCAAGTCGCCGAGCTAGGGGGTCTGCTGAAAGAGGTGACAGACAAGGTAAGCAATCAGAGCTCCGACTGATTGTTCACCTTCTCCCCATCTTGCAGCAGCATGAAGGATAAAGAGAAGAAAAATGAGAAGAGATGATATGAGATACTTTTGCTTTTGAAGAAGTAACTTTCCACAGGCTTATTCTTGAACTGAGCTGGAGGGTTTTCTGGTTTCCTCCAGAGTATAAGGCCGACTGAAGAATTTGAGGGTCAAAACAAGTCCATCAAATCTAGAGTACGTTCCACCCTGCTGATATGGGATACTTTTGCTTTTGACAGAGTAATGGATGTATCGGCACGTGTGCTGTTACGCTTGTCTCCACATGCTTCCTTGTATCCTTCGCACTTGCCCTATCTGTTCCTCAAGCAGATGCGGAATCTTCCCTGGAAACATAAGCTGTTGAAGATGAGTACTCGAGAGCAATGTCAGGTAAGTAATCAGGTAAGGGGTTCCAGGCAGTCAGTTCCTGGCTGGAAGCTTGATTCCAAGTGCTGACTGATTGCTCTCTTTCTCCTTGTCTTGCAGGTAAAAACAAGGCCAAAAGAAAAAACAGGGAAAAAGCATGATATGGGATACTCTTGCTTTTAACCCTGATGATATGAGATATTCTTGCTCTAGTATAGCTTGTTTGCAGAGGTATTATCGGGGGGAAAGAAAGCTGAATATTTCGAAAGGCTTTGTTGGGAGTGCCCTCTCAGATATGATGAAGGGTTGAGCATTTTTGCAGGTCTGCCTGTCCGTTGGGGATGGAGGTCGACATATATAGGGGTCTCCCTAACAACAAGTAGTAATGCTATTCCTTTACCCTGCTTGGTCATAGCACGGCGGTAGTGGGAGCTGCCAGTTTCACATGTTTTAACTCTGTCAGAGCACTTTGAAAAAGTGGTCTGTGGTATCTGGCTCTCGAGATTCGGAGAACGATGCCTCTTCGATTTTTGAGAAAGCAATCATGCTGGGGGTCTGACTCTCGAGATTCGGAGAGCAGTGTCTCTTCGATTTTTTAGGAAGTAATCATGTTGGGAGTCTGGCTCTCGAGATTCGGAGGGCGGTGCCTATTCGATTTTGGAGCAAGCAATCTTGTTGGGAGTGTTGTCTCGAATGTGAGTAAAAGGTTGGACATGTTTGCTAGTCTACCTTGCCACGAAGCACAAAGGTTGACACACACAGGACTTTCCCAATTATCCAGCAATGGTACTGTTCCTTTACCCTCTCTTCGATTTTGAGAAAGTAGTCATGTTGGGAGTCTGGCTCTCGAGATTCGGAGGACGGTGCCTCTTCGATTTTGGAGCAAGCAATCTTGTTGGGACTGTTTTTCTCGAATGTGAGTAAAGGTTGGGCATGTTTGCTAGTCTACCTTGCCACGAAGCACAGAGGTTGACACACAGGGACTTTCCAATTATCCAGCAGTGGTACTGTTCATTTACCCTTGTGGGTAATAATATGGTAGCTAGACCTTCAAAATTTATGTGTCTAAACTTTGTTAGTGCTGTTTCTTTGCTATTCTTTTACCTTTCTTGGTCAGAGCGATGTAGTGGGAGCTGCAAGCTTCACGTGCTCAACTTTGGCAGAGAACTTTGGCAAAGTGATCTGTGGTACCCATGAGTTATTGTTGCGTGTGGGAAGTGGGTGATTGAACAGTAAGATTCATGTGCTTTCTACTTCACCAGAAGTCTTCGACAGAATGCCCATAATTTCTGCAAAGTTGAGTGTGTGCGTGTGACAGGTGCTGACAAGGCTAGAAAAGTAGGTGCCTCTTCGATTTCTGAGATCGGCCCTCGTGGTCTCTGAGCAGCCCAGCTTTTGAGAAAGCGAGCGCCTCTTCGATTGATTCGGAGAACGGTGCCTCACCGATTTTTGAGAAAGCAATCATGCTGGGGGTCTGGCTCTCGAGATTCGGGGAGCAGTGTCTCTTCGATTTTTGAGAAAGTAATCATGTTGGGAGAGTGGCTCTCGAGATTCGGAGGGCGGTGCCTCTTCGATTTTGGAGCAAGCAATCTTGTTGGGAGTGTTTTCTCGAATGTGAGTAAAAGGTTGGGCATGTTTGCTAGTCTACCTTGCCACGAAGCACAGAGGTTGACACACAGGGACTTTCCAATTATCCAGCAATGGTACTGTTCCTTTACCCTCTCTTCGATTTTTAAGAAAGTAGTCATGTTGGGAGTCTGGCTCTTTAGATTCGGAGGACGGTGCCTCTTCGATTTTGGAGCAAGCAATCTTATTGGGAGTGTTTTCTCGAGTGTGAGTAAAGGTTGGGCATGTTTGCTAGTCTACCTTGCCACGAAGCACAGAGGTTGACATACATGGACTTTCCAATTATCCAGCAGTGGTACTGTTCCTTTACCCTTGTGGGTAATAATATGGTAGCTAGACCTTCAAAATTTATGGGTCTAAACTTTGTTAGTGCTGTTTGTTTGCTATTCTTTTACCCTTCTTGGTCAGAGCGATGTAGTGGGAGCTGCAAGCTTCACGTGCTCAACTTTGGCAGAGAACTTTGGCAAAGTTATCTGTGGTACCCATGAGCTATTGTTGCGTGTGGGAAGTGGGTGATTGAACAGTAAGATTCATGTGTTTTCTACTTCCCCATAAGTCTTTGACAGAATGCCCATAATTTCCGCAAAGCTGAGTGTGCGTGTGACAGGTGCTGACAAGGCTGGAAAAGTAGGTGCCTCTTCGATTTCTGAGATCGGCCCTCGTGGTCTCTAGGGAGCCCAACTTTTGAGAAAGCGAGCGCCTCTTCGATTTCTGAGATCGGCCTTCGTGGTCTTTGAGCAGCCCAACTTTTGAGAAAGCAAACGGCTCTTCGATTTCTGAGATCAACCCTCGTGATCTCTAAGCAGCCCAACTTTTGAGAAAGCAAACGCCTCTTCGATTTCTGAGCAGGCGCCTCTTTGATTTCTGAAGCTCCGTCGAGTGCAGATTTTTATAGGGGCTGGCATTAAGTTCCAAAGCACACTTGAATCTCCACCAGTAGAAGCTTCATTCTTGCACTTCTAAGATCTTGATTTGTCCGACCTCTTCTCTCTTCAACACCTTTGAAAATGTCTGGCCCCTCCGACCGTCGTTTTGACTTGAACCTTGTTGAAGAGGCAGCCCCGCCTTCTCCAGACAACATATGGCGCCCATCCTTCGTCTCCCCAACTGGTCCTCTTACCGTTGGGGATTCCGTGATGAAGAATGATATGACCGCTGCGGTGGTGGCCAGGAACCTTCTCACTCCCAAAGATAACAGACTACTTTCCAAACGGTCTGATGAGTTAGCTGTTAAGGATTCGCTGGCTCTCAGTGTTCAGTGTGCAGGTTCTGTGTCTAATATGGTCCAACGCCTATTTGCTCGAACCCGCCAAGTTGAATCATTGGCGGCTGAAGTGATGAGTCTCAAACAGGAGATTAGAGGGCTCAAGCATGAGAATAAACAGTTGCACCGGCTCGCACATGACTATGCTACAAACATGAAGAGGAAGCTTGACCAGATGAAGGAAACTGATGGTCAGGTTTTACTTGATCATCGGAGATTTGTGGGTTTGTTCCAAAGGCATTTATTGCCTTCGTCTTCTGGGGCTGTACCGCGTAA